TTGAAAAAATGTATTGACTCACTAACGAGGCTGTCTTTTTCTTTGTTTGTGCTATGACCAAAGTAGGTGATGTATTTTCTATTAGTCCCTTCCTTATTTCGCTTGAGCAGTTTGTATGCGTATGTGATGATGTCTTTGCTCACTGGTAGGTCCGCAGACTTGGGATTCAGCGTGAAGGCTATGCCGATGACCTGCAGTAGGACAAACGTGGAATGGGCAAAAAAAAAAAAAAAAAAAAAAAAAAAAAAAAAAAAATTAGATCGTTTTCTGCATCGTGTAAAACGATCTTAGCGACACTGCGCTGTCCGCATGGCACTCAATCGTGCATTACGGTACATATACTGTGCACGTGCGTACCTTCAAGGCCGTGGTCCGCGAGATGGCGGGGTTCTTTATATTTTTCAGTGTGACATAGCAAAAGTTAAATAGCTCCTCATACTTTCTGTGCGTGATCAGGTGTTCCTTCAACTCCCTGAAATATAAATGAAGATATTCAGTGGACTCTGTGCACGTCTTGAACAGCAGCTTGTCATCCTCCGTCCCGGTGTTTTTGTACTTGCTCTTACATATGGTCATTGTGTCGTTCGCTTGGCGTTTCCTTCGTGCATATTATCGCGTTGGGGAGGGCTCGTTTTTAAAAATAATGTGGGAAATTTATTTTCCTGGTTTCCCCTTAAATTGTTCGAGCGCGGCGGAGGCTGCACGATCGACCCTCCCCGCAACCACTTCAAGGCTTCACTTCTTCACTGCTTAACGGCTTCCCTGCTTCACTTCTTCACTACTTCACTTCTGCACTGCGTCACTATGTTCCCTCCTCTGAGACCAAGCGCAGAATCAGAGCGAGTACATTATCCGTGCCGTTTGCGTGTCGTCAGTCACTCTCCCTCGTGAATATAAACTTAAAAAAAAAAAAAAAATTATCCAAATAATTGCCCAGCGAAGGCATTTAAAAAGAGAAATAAAAAGGTATGTTAATATAACCACGCGACAAAAAAGGAGTGTGACTTAAAGTAGGAACATCTCCAGTCAGCGAACGTATCGTCAAGGGCATGTATAACCATTACATGTACTGTGCGATTACGGAAATTAGAAAGGGGCGGTGGGAATATTTTTTTTTTTTTTTTTTTTTTTTTTTTTTTTCCTGCATACAATGCATGCGCATGCGGACGCCTTCGTGTAAAATTATTAATCGAGACAACATTGAGGTGCGCTCGTGATGAAGTTCAGGTCAGCGTTAGGGGTCTGCCCCCTTGTTAAGAATTACAAAATTACCTATGCGTCGGCTGCTCCCAATTTGGTGCATTCACAAATTCGTTCATCGTTCAGAGTTCGGCGGGACTCAACATAACGTAGCTTGGCCCGCTTTACCTTCACTTTGGTTCCCCATCTCTTTCATTGCTTCCCTTTTTTTCCTTCTTTTTTTTTTTGTTCTAATTTTTTTTTTTCTTTTTTTTTTTTTTTGCCAGATCGTCCCATTTGCAACTGTTTGAGGAGGGCGCCCAAGGGAGGTGTGAAAAGACGGAGGTGCATTCTCAACCGGTGAGATGATTCTGCGGGAGTTTCTCCTTCGGTGTCGCAGCTGGCCCTGCTAACCGGTAGCCACCCCTCAACGAGCATGTGTTAGCGATGCCAAATACATGTCCTCCTTTCATTTCACCATTTGGCGAAATTGGTCTGCCCTCCCTTCTCAGTGTCCCCAACGGAACCCCCCCTTGAGCGCAGCAAAATTTGACCAAATCGGGGATGGTTTTCTACCCCGGTTCGGGATGAATTCAGCTCAGTTCTAAGCCCAAAGTGGCGCTCCCGTGCGCGCACAGCACACACACAGGAGGGTGGGGGAAGGGGAAGGCAGGCTAAAATGAATAAACATGGAGAAGAATAAAACGGAAAATGGGGGCAAAGAAAATACACGCCTCGAAGAAATACACAGCTTGGTTCACATATCTAACGTGGTTTTAAGTGACCCCATAAAGTGGAGCAAAAATGAAGGCGGAGAATATAATAAAGAAAGCTTGCGGCAACCAATTTATAACTCTTTGCCACCACCCCCCGTTGTGCAAGAAATAAACATTCGGGATTTTGATCAGTACATTCGTTACATCACTAAGGTTTGCCTTATTTTTATTTTTCGCTTAACACATGTGAAAAGTAGCCTGGCTACCTGTTCCTCATGCGGGGATTCTACTGCCATGTTTAAAGCGGGGTGAAGAGGAAAAAGCCTGCTCGACCTCTGTCTATAGCTGTGTTCACTCCCTCACCATCGTAACCCTTTTTTTTTTTTTTTTTTTTTTTTTTGCTTCTTGCCCTTTTCCGCAGATCAACACGCTGAGCGACGTAAACATACGCAACGTGGATGAGATTAGCCTCCACCATTTTGAGCGCATTTTGAACAACCCCCCCTTGGTTGAAGAGGTGCAGAAGCGAGCAGAATATGTTGCTAACGGGACAGATACACAATTGCCCCCCTCAGGGGGATCATTGTCCAGCATCGCTGACACGGGCGAACAGTCTAACGACCTGTCTGCCTCTCCCAAAACGCAGTCGCACTGGGAAGACAAGCATGACGTGTTGATCGCAGATGAGGCCTGGTGCAACCTGTCCAGCCTTACGCGCCATCAGGAGGAGGTAAGTCTAGTCACGTGAGATGCCCAACCAACCCCCAGCATCGTTTGGTAACTTCTTCCCCCCCCCCTCAATCGAACACTCCCCCCCGCCGTTGCAGCTGAGCCAAACGCTGGACGATATCGATGGAGACATCAACACACTGATCCGGAAGGAATTCCAAAACTACCTGCACATAATACCCGTTCTGAACAAGCTAAAAGGAGAAATAAAAAATTTGCATGACGAAATTAAAACATTGAGTACACACGTGAATCAGGTAAAAGAAATGTTATTAAAAATTATTCATTTAAAAAAATATAACCATTTGAAGAGGAAATGTAAACAAGTAAATCATCTGCTGAACAAATTTTTACATTTTCAAAGGTTAATAAAAATGCTGAAAAAATTTTTACAAAAAAGGAAATTTTATCACTGTCTTTTTGCAGTAAATAAAATTTTTAAAATTTATTTCTTTTTTAAAAAAAAAAAAAATTTCTTATATTTTCAGAAATATTTTTGTAATTTTAATATATCCTACTTGAAAAGCTTCCTGTCTCAGAATTTCCTTTTTTTGTTTTTTTTCCACTCCTTGTTGTTTTTGTTTCGACCTAGGCGGGTCAGGAAACCTTCGCTTTGTGTCACTCACTTGGTTAAAAAGTGGGCTCGTCTGCGCTGTAGAAGTTCCCGCATAAAGACGGACGATACGACCACTACCCAAGGGGAGACCCCCTTCAGTGACAACCCAGCAGAGTTAAGCAAAGACTACACCCCGCACCACCCCTGCTTGAACTTTTCTTCCAAAGATAAGGCACAAATCAACACCTTTGTAAAATTTCACAAACGGGTCAACGAAGAGTTTATGCGCAACATTCACAGGAAGAAAAAAAAATTTGTCAAGTGCCGGAAAAGGGAGGAAGAAAATTTTTTTGTGAAACGATGGCACCAGGGAGTCTTCTCCCATTTTTATAAAACGATGAGAAGGAGAGGAACGTTTAACTACCACCTTGTTCACTTGAATAATCTCTTCACCCCGGCACTATTCTTTAACAATTTCTTCAACTCACTGCGAAGTTTCTGTTCCAAGGAAAACTACTTAAAGCATTTTGTGAACGACCTCTTTTATGGTGTGTTGCACGAAACCATCTCGACCTTTCAACGCGATCAGTTTTACGAGTTCGGGGAGAAATCCCTTTTCCGTGCAGAGGAGGTAGCAGCCCAGTCAGGGGGGGAAGAAAGTCCATCCCCTTGTGAAGAAGCAGATGTAGTAGAGGTACACTTACATTTGAAACCAACAAAACGAGCAAAACCAGAAAAGACAAATCAACCAATAAGTGAACAATGTGCAAGTCATGTGGAACGATATCCCTCCGGAAGAATAACCCTCACATGTGAACATCTCGTGATAGAAAAATGTAAAACAAAAAATATTCTCAAATGTGAGCAAGACACATGCAACAACAAACACCTGTACAGACAGGTGGGCCTTCTGCCCATCCCCAATTTGGTGCATTTCTTGAAAAATTTTTTGCGGAAAATAAAAATTATTCAGAGGAGGATAAATAAGTGGGCTTCATTTTTAATGGACAAAATTATTTCCTCTCTTTTGAACGAAACGTACATGGAGAGCTTCGCCAAACACACGCCGCACCTCACGCTGCAAATGCCGGTGAACAGCTTCCCATTCTTCAAAAGAAGCAAATCATCTCACATGATAAAACACGCATACTCCAACTTGTGGAAATGCTACCGAGATATGCACCACACTCTTTTTAAACTCCTCCTCGAAAGGATAAGCGACGTATTAAATGTTAGAACAAAATCAAGTATGCACCTTGGCATCAATCAGGTGATTTCCCTTTATTGGACCATTCTCCCCATCTTATCCTTCGTCCGCAGGAAGGGTCGAATGTTGCGGCAGGACTACACTCTCCTTTTTGTGAGCAGCGTGAATACGGTTTTGAGACGTGCTCATGTGTGTAGGAGGATGCACCTGTGTGAGAAACCCCTCGAGGGGACCAGACCACTCCGTGTGAGGAGAACACTGAAAAGGAACCAATTCACCATCGCCAAAAAGGTAAACAAATTGAACTACAATGTTCGTACGTCACGGCGTGGAATGAGTGAAATAGGGGAAATCCCCCCTGTTTGTCTCCCCATGAGGAAAGAAGCCATGTGTTGTGAGGACCAAGCACATGTACGTAGTGACTTGGTGGACGAATCGAACTACGGGCTACCGCAACAGAGTGGCCAAGTAAGAGCACAAAATTGGGAACCATTTACGTTTAACCCTACGGGAGAGTGTCACCCCAGCTGCTTCCTTCCAAATAGTGCAAACCTGCGCATAGGTAGTGAGAACTTCCACGTCCCACGCAATGTAAGCTTAGCCATCCTGAGGAGAGGTAACAGGGAGCAAGTAAAACTGGGTCGCTTCCTTCAACAGGTAATTCAAAAGACACCACATGGGAAGGAAATCAAGTGGAGACTCACCCATGATGAGAAAAAGTTCTGCAAACAAATCACAAAACGCATAAGAACCGAATCGCTAGTCGCCATAAATCACTTTTATGAATTTAAAAAAATACAAATGGACAAATCGTTAGAAATTGAAAAATGGAATGTACTGGAGGACATTCCACAAGAAATAAATGCTCAGATGGAAAAATATTTCAACATAAAAAATGAACATACAAATAAATTGTGCATGAATGACCAACTGTTTTACTTAACTAACAGCAGCGTGTCTTTCTTGTGTATCATTTTTCAGTACATCCATTTCATGCTCTCGCTACCAGATGTTTCGTTTGAAATTGTTTTGAAGATTTTAACCTTCTGTGATAAACAGTTGCTCAAAACGGTTCATCATTTCATCATGGATGGACATGCCGTTACCAACTGCACCCTCAAGAGCATCACCATTAAGATCCTGGCTCTCGTTATCCACACCCTCGATTTCGCCGACTCCACGCTCAGGCGCGTATATGCCATTTGGCGCCACCTCCTGTGCACGCGTCGGGGTGGAGCGCCTTCAGTGGCGGTGGGCAGCCATATGAGCAACCATATAAGCAGCGAGGACGACATCCCCAATGCGCAAACAAACGTGACCCCACTTGCAGATCACCCTCATGACCGCTACACTGTGGAGGACCCTCATCGTGCAGACACCCAATTGGAAAACGAGACAATGAATGTGTGGGGACATGACCAACTAAGGCATCCTCCAGATAAAAAATTCACCAAAGGGGAAAGAACAACAATTAGTAAAAAGACGTACTGCGGAGGGAACGACGAAAAGTCGTCGTTAGAAAAAAAGGAGAAGCATACTCATGGTGATATATTACAAGGGATGAATACCAACTGGGTAAACAGCGTTCTAGTAAATTTTACAAAATGTGTAAAGTACCCCACCACACAGAACCGTAAGCGCATCCTTCGTGGCATCCGCCTCTCGAAACAGGAAGAAAAAAAAGTGAAAGAAAATTTTAAGCACATCCTAGATAAGTCATTTCTTTTAAAAAAAAAATTAGCGGAAAAGATAATTGATATTTTATCGACTCGATTTGATTATTGCACAAACATCTGGTTGGTGTCGGACAGTCTGTTGGAGAATCACTTGGTGAACTCCCTTAGCTACGAGTGTGACATATTGCCCTATGGGATGCAGCTGCGCTCCACCTTCAAGGTATCACCCGCGGAGTGACGTTCATTCGTGCAGGTGCATGTGGACCAAGGGGGATATGTGTTGTATCCCCCTGGAACGTGTCTCCCTGTGCTGCGTCTTACTATCCTATGCACGTATTCCATTTCTAATCGCTTCTTAATAGCGTGTTAACGTATTCCATTTCCAACCGCTTCTTAATATCGTCTGCCCACTGCAATGCAGCTCCTGAGTACCTACCTGCGCGAGCAGGACACCAGGAATATCTACCGAGACCTCTTCCAAGACATCGCGAACCGTTTCAGCTTGCGCATTAATGTCCTCAAAGGAAACGACCAGTATAAGAAAATTATTTCAAGACTGATGGACGACGCCGCGCCAGGAAAATCACAAATTGACCAATTGATTATGCACTATCACAACTACGAACTTAAGGAGAAGACTGCTCACAACATTCACAAAAATGTCGGCGACAAAATCCTCATCGACATGACCAACGTCTTAATCATTCTCTACAAGGTCCCCCTTTTGTCTGACATCATTGAAACCTTCTTAAACGATTTTTTAAAAATTTGTAAGTCCCACTGGTACGTAACCATAGACCCCTTTCTAATTCTGAGCAAGTACAAAAAGTAGAGCCATTTGGGGATGCGCACAAGTTGTGCCGGTTTGGGGGGGGGGGGAAATCGACGGGGGTACATTTATATTTGTGCGTGTGGGGAGTCGTCCCTACCATTTTTAGTATCCTTTATTTTTTTAATTTCTTTTTTGACATCCATCTCATGCAACCCTTTTTTTAAATTAAATTACTTCTCTCCTTAATACCCATTTTGAAATCCCCCACCAATACACAAAAAATTACTACGCGCCATACGCTAAGGGGGTAAACAGGGATGCCCCTTAACCATAAGTAGACACGCCCCCAAAAGAAATGCTCAATTGTTAAGGGCTAGTCACCCACATTGGGGAGACCCACCGTGACCCCGTCTTCCAATACGGACCCTATAATGCCCCCTCTTTCCGCTTTTAAAATAGAAAGAACAAATTGTTTTTCTATACATGTCCTTCCCAAAGTCGCTAACCTTGACTCCTCTCTGCAGTGCACATAAAGCACAAATTTGACGCGCCAAAAAAAAGAACGCTCTTACAATGGTACACACCTCATAACAGTCATGAGCTTCTACCATCCCAATTGTAGGGGTCCTCCAATTGGCCTCACCTTTGAGTCCTGGTTTTTCATGCGTCATGCGCAAATCGCCACAAACGCACCCACACATTTACAACTTTATACATTTCATTTTTACAGTTTTTTAATTTATGCACACAATGGATGCTTCTCCACCTGCACGTGCATGGCGTAAGAAAAACAGGCTGGTATGAAATTATTAAGGGGTGAAATTATACACAGGGATGAAATTGTGCGATTGGCCTTTTCTTTTTTTTTCTTTTTTTTTTTTTCTCTAAATTCTGCTGCACTGGATATAAGAACATGGCTGCACGTGTATATGCACATATACACATGGACAACAAGAAATGAGAGAGGGGGCGGGGGAAAAAAAAAAAAAAAATGCATACACTTGTGAACACGTGTCTACATGGGCGCATACACACACACACAAGGGGAGAGGCACACGTGAAAATGCTCTCAAACTTACGCAAGCAACGCACGTCGTTCCCTGGCAAACAGTTGGGCGATGCATACAAAAGTGAGATGAAAAAGGATGAATACGAGGGGGATGAGGGAAGAACAATATCATTTTTTTTTTTTTTTTTTTTTTTTTTTTTTTTTTTTTTTTTTTTTTT